ATTGAAAAACAGCAGAAGCATAAAGCTTAAGCGGAGCCCATAGGTTGTCTAAACAAATATTCTGCCTCTTCTGGCCAAGAAATTGAAAACAGTGAATTTAGGAAAAATAAGCATTGCCTTGGACTACCCAAGCTTAAGAATGTATGGTTTTATTTTTCCTTCGGGTGTATACCCCTGGGTCTCTTCAGAAAACTTGGCGATGCTGAGAGGTGGCTGACTTATCTGGAAAATGTGGTCAGCATAAATAATGTACCACTCTGCTTACAGTACTTTGTTGCAGAAATGGCCTTAAAAACCTAATATAAACAGACAATCTGAGGACATGTTTAACTTTTGAAGTACTTAAATTTACGGTGTAAGTTCTGGAGCACTTATGAAGATGTTTAAAGATTCCTGGTCTGTTACCCACTAGAGTAGCACTGAGGTGCACAGCTTCTGGCGTCCTCTGGAAATGTGAACTAGTAAGCCTCACATACCAAATCTGTGGGAGATAGACAAACATCATTTAGCCTTCAGAACGGCATGGTTCAGAAACTGAAATCTGTACTTTGGTTTCAGTTGGAAATCAGGTAGAACACATACTCAGACTTCACTGAGGTGAGGTTTCCTAAAAAAGGTTTTTACGTGTTGTGAGAGGGTCTGTTTCTGTGAGTTTGAACTGTCAGGATATTGTTGGCTGTGTGTTTATAATACAGGTAGGGTACTGGGCTTCAATTAAATACGTTTTTAATCCATAGGTCAGATGTATCAGCAGTACCAACAGCCTGGTTACCCTGCCCAGCAGCCGCAGGCTCAGCCCCAGCAGCAGTACGGCGTGCAGTACCCAGGTAAGCAGCTCTCTCGAACAGCAGTTCAGCTGCAGAACCCCCTGAAGTCCTGAGCCTGTGAGTTTTGGTTCCTGACCCTGTGGGGCAGGTCAGGGTACTGAGCTGCCCAGCTGCCTGTGTTCCTTATGGGAAGTAGCACAGTTCAAAAGTGACCAGTAAGAGAACACTGTAGGTGTCTGTGTTGTTGATGCATAGTCAGAGTTCTGGTATCTCAGTCCTACTTGATTGTGACCAAAAGCAAACTTCATTATCAATCAGCAGAATGCCTTATTAGAAGGGCAGGCAAAAGGAATCACCTGAAGTATGAGCAGCCTTCAGGATTAACTTCCACAGTCATGGGATTGTAGCAAGTGACTAAAACACCCCAGTTCAGCTTCCTTAGATACTGGAGGTATCTAAAGATGGCCTCTCTTTCTTCATCTAGAATGATCTCCATGTACAAAATTTAGTGGTGTGAACACTGTAGTTGTCATTTAGTAAAATCCCTGGCTATTATAAATACTGTAAGTTTCAGAGAAACTTTGAAGTGATAGATTTTTTTTTTTTGGTTGTTGATTTTGCTGATACCTCAGGTGAAGATGCCAGTAAACTTTTAGTGTGGTTTTTGTGCAGTGATATTTGAACAGCTGTATACTCAAAATAAACTGGACTTCAGAACTTTCAGTTACTTGCTTTAGAAGCAGCTGGCATCTAATAAAGCATAGTAGGAATCACAATCCAGATAAAGTACAGGGATGAACACGTAAGAGCAGGTTGCATAACAAATTGCACGTTGCTTAATACTTCTAGAAAATGATACAAAGCATTTATCATTTCTTGTTTTAAAAATCTTCCTTAAATTAAACAAAAGACTCCCATTAAGTGACTCAGAGCCGGTGTGACCTTCTCATGGTACACAAGATATACAGTGGGAGCGCATCAGTTTTTATATAGATGAGAATATTTGCAGAGTTTACAAAGATGTTTAGCTTGGATTAGAACTTCAGAACACTTGAACTAAAGGTTGTTGCCTCAGCCCTTGTTCCTGTGCACTGTGTGCTGTTTGGTTTTGGTCTCTAAATGGTATCTTGTTCTCTGCAGATTTCTCACCCACACATTTATAATTAGACAGTGACAGACTCGCTGAAGTCTAATTTCAGAAGAAGTAACAAGCCTGTTGGAAGTAGAAGAGTCTATCTGATTTTTTTAGGCTTAAAAACTGAGGGGGAAAAAAAAGGAGTTCTAATCTGCTTTCTAATCATCTAATCCATTATTTTACTGGAGATGTTCCTGTGAAAGCTGTAGTGCAATGTGAGTTCTACATTCTAACCAACATCATCAAGTAAGAATGAAACTCCACCAAAAACTGATTGGGGTGCCTCTGTTTCTCATAAGTTCTTTCACAATCAACCTAATCTGTCAGAAACAGTCTTTTTTTTGAGGTGGCAGCAGCCTTTGAAAATGTTGAGTCATAGGATTTTTTTTGTTTTGCTTTTGTTCCTGTGAGTATTGTCTCTTTTTGAACTCATGTCTCCCAAGAGCACAATCTCTTCCCACTCTTGTAGATCTACTAGGCAACAGTGTGGCTATTTATACATGGTAGTAAAAATGGACCCTTCAGAGGTTTGTCTCTCTCATGAGTAAATTTTGATCCCAGTTTCAAGGTGAGTTTACTCCAGTGCATTCTTACCCTTACTCTTTCTGTTTAGGGCTGTGCACTTTTAATAATTTGTGTGTCTGGTGTTTAATGCTGACAGGATTCCAGTCACTGGAGAGGTTTCATTGCAAGTAGCTGCAGGTGTGTTTCATGATGGATAAAAGTAGCTATTTCTTCATAAAAGGACTTTGTGCCATTTCAAAGTTTTCAAGAAGAGAAATTCCTTTTGGAAGCTGGTTTTATACACAAAACCCAAGTTTGTGACGTGTTTATATTGAAGTTTTGTACTAAAGTGTTCTGTTCTGCACAGTCTTTTCATATTTAATGCTAAAGAACTGAAAACACCTTTAATTTAACCAGAGGTATGACTTACATTAATCAGCGAGAGTATTTTCATGGCAGTAATTTGGAGGTTTTGTTTGGGAAAAGGTTGTATTTTGCCTTACTTGCCAGTGAAGACTTTATTTTTCGTGTGATATGAAGTGAAAGACTATGTGTCTTTTTTTTTTTTTTTTGGTTATTCCGTGTCAGTCACTATTTTATCCTAACTGTTGTCAGTGTGCTGTGCTGCCACGGTAGTGCACCAAAACCCAGGCCATGTGCTTATGTGTGAAAGGCAGGAAAACTTGTAGTTCACTCTTGGTTTGCGTTTTCTCCGCTTACTGCACTGTTTTGCGTTCATCACTGTAAATATTAAAAAAAAAAAAAAAAAAAAGCCTTTCTGCAGACACCCACGGTTCTTTGCTGCCTCTCACCCCACCTCGCTCTCTGCCTTTCCAGCAGGCTACAGCCAGCAGCAGCCCCCGTCGCAGCAAGCTCAGCAGTTCCCGGCCTACAGCCAGGCGGCCCCGGCCCCGGCCGCCGCCTTCCCGGGGCAGCCGCAGCAGCTGCCGGCACAGCAGCCGCCGCAGTACCCCGCGGGCAGCTACCCCGCACAGCCCTACACCACGCAGGCCTCCCAGCCCGCCGCCTACAGCGGCTCCCAGGCGGCGCCGGGCACCTTCCAGCCGCGGCCCGGCTTCACCCCCCCGCCCGGCAGCACCATGACCCCCCCGCCCAGCGGGCCCAACCCCTACGCCCGCACCCGCCCGCCCTTCGGCCCCCAGGGCTACACCCAGCCCGGACCCGGCTACCGGTAAGGAGGTGCCCCTGCAGCGGGCGAGTGACACGTGCGATTCCATCCCAACAGACTCCAGGATTTTTAATTGAGATTCCAAAACTGTAATGAGGCGAAACTATAGCTGTTAATTAAAATCTGCTGGGGGAAGGGAAATGACCAAATCTTTCCTGCTTTAAATTGTATCCGCTTCCTAGTTTAATTTGGGGCCGGGTGGTTTTTGGGAAACACTACTTAAATGTCTGTAAAGTGATTGACATTCTAGCTTGCCTTGTCTGAAGGATATGAAGATGCTAGTTGGAAGTTTAGCCCACTTACTGGGCTTATTTTTACTAATACCATGATGTACTAAATTAGATTCATTCTGGAGGTAAAACTAGATATGATGTATTATAAATTGTAATGCTCACATGGAAGAACTAATAAAAACCCTGAATCTATCAAGTGGCTGATCTTCATTTTAGAACTTAGGTAATGCTGGACAAGAAACCTGTATTAAGTCCATTGTGCATGCTGTGTGTACAGACTGGGCAGTAAAGATCAGCGGTGCTCGGGCGTGTAGGAGGAGGGGCAGATTTCTAGGTGTGTAAATGGAGAACTACTGGGAGCAGAAATGGCAGTCACAGAGGTTTCACAGCAGTAGGTGGGTTTGTCCTGCCTGCTGTTGTTAATTGCCAAGTAACCCATTTACCAAGTGAATAGGAAACAATCGATAAAATCTTACAGCCTCTTATCAATTTCACTTTAACAAGGGCTGGGGGAGAATTAGTTTATTACTTGAACATTCAAGCCAAATGTGTATCTTTAAAAAAGAACTCTTTAAAAGAAACTACTTTCCACAGATTCTTTGCCACCCAGAAGAATTTGGAAGTGCAATCCTAGTGACTCAATTTTGAGCCAAGAAAAAGCAGATCAAGGGCTGTAACAAATTCAATAGACCATATTACAGCAGAGGGCAAATCATTCTCCAGTTAATATTTTCCATCTTGCAGATTCTAGGAATATGTAAAACTAAGTGGGGAATAAAAAACGAGCTTGAGCAAGCTGCTTGAACTCTCCTAAAGACAAATTAGCATCCTTAAATAGTGCTGTGTCCACATCAGCCATGCTACCCAGTAAGCTGTGGCTATACCTACTTTTTCTTCTCTCCTGTTTGTCACACTGTTTAACACAGGCCTATTTCCAGGAACCAGTTTGCTCTGAATAACAGAACATATCTGTGGCATTTGCCACAGAAACTAATCCCTGTTTTCATGTAAAACACTTGAGAAAAACACTTGATTAAAAAATATTTTATTAGGAGTACAGTGTACCTGCAATGTACTTTATAAGGTATTTTCTATAAATGACTACTATATATATCTGGGTGTTCCTGTTCATATTTCTTCAATACATTAGTAAGGTAATGAATAACACCTTTAAAAAAAACCTACATCTCTTTATTTAGTTCATAAATGTTCAAGCAGTACAACAAGTAGCTTTGGGAGAGGTTTTAATCAAAGTAACTGTAAAGCAGTTTTAAAGTTCAGTTATCATTATTTCCCCTTTGTCCCCAATGAAAAATGTTTTAGATCACAATTTTTCTTCTTAAATTAAATAAACCTGATCATGCTGTTATAACTAGCTTATTTTTTTTCCTCTCTCATTTGTCTTTCCAAGTTCCCCTGCATGGTACATACATTTGGCTTTTGAACCAGTAAGTCTCAGTGTCTGAAGACTACATTTTCATGCAAAGCCCCAACCGTGGAAGCCAAGTTTCATTGTTTCATTCCATGTATGTATGTACCTGTCCACTTTAATTAGAGAAAACCAAACCCACCTGCCAGCCACTGCCACGCTCATGGGCAGCAGCTCTGACTCCATAATGACAGGCCAAACATGGCTTTTGCTGGGGTTGAAGCATTTGAGAACAAACAGACGCCCCCCTCAATTTGATAATTTAAAGCTGCACATATAGCAACCTACCTCAGCATTTTGGCAGGAGTATAAACTGTACGTGTAAGAAGAAAGTGCTTCAAGTTTACTGGCTGCAGGATATTAAAAATTGTAGGATCTTTTCTATAACTTATGACTGGGAGACATTACAGATGGATCTGGACAGGTAGCTTATGGCACTTGCATTACAAGAAGACCAGGAAATATTTAAAAACTAACGTACATTGCATTCCATGACCAACTCTGCCATATCTGTGCCTTAAACATTTATTACAACATCACGATAAATAATAGACACACTGTATCTTTTAAAATACCATATAAACCATACCTCAAGAATAGGGAGCCAGCTTCCCTATACATTATCCTACAGCATGTCCCTAGCCTGTTTGTGTTTTTAATCTAAAAACAAATTTGTAAAACTGGATAACTACAGTAAGCAGCCTACGCTATTACACAATGAATGCAGTATTGGCATTAGACTTGTATAAACCCTGGCACATGAAGTGCCAGGCACACCGTAAGCATTGCCGTCCTTGAGCCTGCGCTGGGCAGTGGGGTGGAGGTGGCACATGCTGGGCCTCTTCACCAACTTCATGTCGCATCTACCACTTCCCAGGGATTGATGTGCCACACTCGTACCAGCGGACGTAGTTAATTTGAGTCTCCCCACCTATTTTTCCGAATTTGACAGGTTCCTGACGAACTGCCCTGAAAAATCCTGCAACAGAGAATAGAGCTTAGTTTGCATGAAGCATTCAGGACTACCATGCTTTGATCTCCCTGTGAAATCTGTGTACGTTTCAATTAGTCTCTAAAATAGTTGCTAAGCTGTTAACATGTCTGCCACAAGCAGGGCTGTTTGCTGCCCCTACATCCATTAGGTCTCTGGAATTTGTCCACCCAACTCGAGGCAGATGTGCTTGGGATGGTGGTGAAAGGCTGCCTTCCCTTGAGACACCAGCACCCACCCAGGGATGATGCTGACCAGTGCTCTTCTGTCCCCTCTCTGGCTGTGACAGGGTCTCTGAACACTCGTTGCAAAGTCACAATGATTAAATAGTCCCCACTGCAGTAGCCTTGAAACTTCAGTGAACTTCAGTAAAACTGGGGATTAGTTCACGCTATCTCCACGTTCCCAAGCGAAAGATCGTACCTCCTGCTTTCGGTCTGTTACCTTTGACAACACACGTGCTTCCCTTTCAAACAACTTTAAATTACAAATTAAAGTGAGCAATTAGGGCTGAATCCAGTATGATCATCAGAAATGTATGTGTGGGTAAAGCAGGCATGTCTGCACACAGGCATGCAGGCACACACAAAATACTGTTCTGCCAATGATACACAACATCAGCCATGATTCCCTCACTGTACTTCAGGTCAAATATATGTAGTTAATTCAGAACTCAACTTGCTGCAGCCAAGAAGAAAGCAAGCAGCAATGGACAATTGGTCTGTTCTTTCCTCTATTCACTTCATTGACTAGAAAAATAAGCTACAGAAAAGGTGGAATCTTCTTTTGTTTGCTTGTTTTGTTGTTTGTTTTTACCTAAAAGTGAGTGTAGCTCATGAACTCACTCAATTAAATCCAGTTCTTGAAATCAAATTGGTTTTAAGTCTTTTAAGCTGAGTCTTTTAAGTCTTTTGAGCTTGTTACATAAAAGGTTTTTTAAAATATAAAATCTTTAAAAATGTAAATCTGGTATAGCTGAGAGGTTTACTTGTTCTGGCAATGTCAAATTGGATTCAGACCGCCTCTTGCACAAAGAAAATACCTTTACTAACAGAAAACACTGGGAAAGGAAAAGCAGGACCCTCTTTAGAAAAAACTCACAAAACACATAAGCAAACACCCTTCAGATTGTTCGCCTACTTTGTTTTTTGGAAAAACTTGTGAAAGATTTAGGAACTTCACATTCATCTCCCACACCTACCTCAACACATTTCTGGACTTCTGTAGGGTATTTTATAACTGAGGCACAGGAGGGTTTGGTCAACACGCTGATATTGGACAGAAAACCACTCTGCTGTTTTTCTCAGTAAAATATTCCATGACAAGCTCAGCACGCGCGTGTACCAGCACAGCCTGTGTTCTTACCCCACAAGGGAATGGAATACCTCACACTGGCATTGCTGCCAAGCAGCAAGGCAGGAGTTCAGCTGACACAAGTACAAATTTCATACTCTCCAGCCTCAGCAATGTGTGAAAAATAGCCAGGCAGGTCACAGCTGTGTTTAGGGCATCTACTTCCATGTCCACTCAGACCAGACTGGAGTTTTGGGCACCCAGTTAAAACCAGTACACACAGAACTACTGCAGCGTGAATTATATTTTCCAGTAATAACTTTTCAGCTTCTTGTCAGCACCAAACAAAGCTGTTTAATGCCCAACTGATGATTTACTGCTCTTTAAATCAACCTTGCTAGTTTGAACACAACACTTTATGCCTCTCTGCAGACTCAAGTTTGTGATTGGGTTTAAATATGTAATACCAAGTGTGAGTAATCTGCTGGAATGTTTTAAACAGGAGAGAGGCTGTTTACTACTTAACAGAACTGGAGTCATAACTGTCTTAATAAGTCATCATTCATCTTGAAAAACGTCTTGACCCTCTTCTGCCTGCAAAGACGGCAGTTCCTTTCCATCACCCACCCCAGCAGTGGGTATCCAATCCACTGGCAAGAAAAAGAAACAGAGGAATTGCTGAGGTTTGCTACAGACAGGCATAAGAAATTACCATCTTTGACTGGTAGATCTTCTTGCTGTCCTGTCCTTCCATCTAAGAATGAGTCTACAAATTGGCAGTGATCTTCTCCATGGCCCCTCTGGTCTCCTATGTTATAAAATTTTCCTGAAAGCAAAGAAGGAGCAAAGTTTAGTGAGGGCTATTTCCAAAAACCACCAGAGGCAATGGGCTGTGCTCTTTCCTCTGTGGGGAAGCCAAGGTGAATGCTATGATTCTTTTCCTCTCAGGACCTGTAGCTGTAATTTGAAAATGATGTGCAGGTTCCAAGTACAGTGCTCATGGCTACTGACAAAAATGCCCCACTCCTGGCCAAAATTATGCCTGGATGTAATTCTTCCCCCTCATTACATTTCATACAATAAGGGGAATTCAGTTACTACCTAGAAGCTCACCCTGATTGTATCAAAAATGAGGTAAGTTTTGCTAGTGATTTGAGTGGAAGGCAGGTCTGGTTCCCTGTCAGGAAGCCTCCAGTACCTTCAAAGATGTTTTTATAGACCACCTCCTAACACAGCTGAGGTCTGTTTTATAAATAATTGTATTTTTACAACATGTATGTGCAAGTGATATCATTTAACATATGGATGACCTCGGTCGGTAACTGCTTATCCAGAGCATTAAGTGTGCCTGTGTATTTATTTGCAGGATTGTTTAACAGGACACTTGACTCAACTGAGTAGAAAACAAAGTCTCAAGTGCCCCATGCAGTGTGTGCTGATGTTATGGGCTGTGCTTATCCTGTTAACAAAGGGAGTCACAGTGAAGGTGTTTTGACAGATGTTTTTACGTACTGATTTGATTTGCAAGACATTAGTAAAATTCAGTTCAGAAAATGGAGGAGAGCATGCTACATTCTCTTTCCAAGCTTGGTTGGAAACATTTGTAGATAAACTTACCGTTCTTTCTAAACTCTTTTCACAGCACTTACTATGTTCAGCCTCTGGTCGTGAGGTTGAAAGGAAAGGCGAGAGCATTTAGAAACAGGCTCAGCACTCCGGTATAAGCTAGGCAGAAAATCCAGTTTCTCATTAGACACTGGGTGTCCTGTAGCCTTGAATCTGTGCCAGCCTGGCAATTTCAGAGATGGTGAGGTGGCTTATAATACTGCTCCCAAAGTGCAATTAATTAAAGAGCAGCCTACCAATAAACTCCTTCTCATGTTTGTGTGATCTGAGCAGCACTTTGCCAAAATTTCTCACCTTCAGTTGAAGGCCTCTGTGCGTGCGGTTCTTCTCTAGCTTTACAAAATTATTTATTACTATCTAGCTTTGGCTGCAGACATGTTTTTTCCATAGGAGAACTGGTCAGAAGGAGTTCCTCTCAGCAATTTTTTGGTCTGAAATTAAGAACACTCAGGCTGCCCAAAAAGGCATTTTTTTTTCCATGGCTGTTGAAGGTCACACATAGAATTTATTTTTTTCCTCCTCTCAATAAATACTTATTTTTAGGTGGCCTGCTTTTCTGGAATGCCTACAGTGACTGCTCTGGAGGACTGTTAAATGAGGTCAGCAGTAGATGCTGGTTTATAGAACAGTACTGGCATGTGTAACAGAGATCAGTTTTTCTTCATAAGAGGCAGAATAAACCAGAAATTTTTATGGCTAACACCAGAACAGTAACTTTCAGATGCACACATACTCTTCTGACCCAGAGCTTAACCTATGCATAACTCAAACAATTGCTACACATAAATTAGCAGCATTCTAAGTGACTATTACATTCTTACTGCCCAATTATTTCCATAATAAAAGAACATACTTAAAAACATTTAGCTAAGAACTGACTGTTTTTCTGTTTTGGGGATAGCAATTCTAGCATAAAGTAAATTTTTTTCCCAGTGTTACTGTATGGGTGGTCTTAAAAATGTTAGGTCTTTGTTTTATACATTATGAATTCTGCAGCACTAAAAGTGTAAATTCATGCTAAAAACCAGCATGTCTGTCGGCTGCCTCATACAACAGCATTTGTACAATGCGCCCAAATTTCAGGGTAATTCCATTGCTTCAACAGCAAAGCTTTGGAAGGTATTTTCAGCGTGCAGTGGACCTCAGCACAGCCCTTCACTACTGGCACACATCTCCCAGTTGGCTGGCACTTGCAAGGACACTTCCTCTGGCCCCGGGAGCAGGATGAGGCGAGGTGTGACAGTGAAACACATCAGAACAGTTTGGCTTCAAAGGGGAAAATTTCTCACTCGCACGCAGAGGCCTCACTTAGCAAATGGGGGGAAAGCAGCTTTCCTTCTGCGTAAATATTTCACTTTTAAATATTGTGACAACTGGTTAGCACTGGTTGTAACAATTCAAGTGCAAGAACCAGGCTTAGCAAGTATAATGAATACAGTGTGTCCGCCTCATCTTTCTCCAGCGAGGTTAAACTTCCACCCTTCCAGCAAGAACAAAAACAATCTAATGAAAATAGGAAAATGGGCTCCTGATACTAAACTTTGCTTTTAAGATTGGAGTAGCTTTCACTGCAGTGTTAATTCACTTGATTTAGGGCTGAAGTCTAGTCCTGCTAGATTAGCACTGCTATTTCCTCTACTGGCTGGTTTTGGGATACCTCATTGCCAGTGCTTGTCATTTGATCACAGCTGATTAGTACAGCATCAGTTGAATGAATGATACCTCTGTTCAAAACAGTCTCTTTTATTCCTGTAATTGCTAAGATGTTATTTACATATGAGGCATTGTACTTCGTGTTAATGACAAGGCTTCCTTGTCTGCTCATTGGAGAATAGTTCTGGTGCAAGGCAGGGAAGCTTGAAGTTATAACAACATGAGCTGCCTTACACTCCCCTCCTCTTTTATTTCCATATTTCTACATACAGAGACCAGAGCCCTGCTCCTGTGAGGTGCTGAGCTCTGAGTTGGGGCAACTTTGGGTTATGAAAGTGGATTCTGTCAGCCACAGTATCTCCTAGTTTATTCGATCCAATGTGTTGAACACACTTGCCTAAATTTCACCCAAAATGCATTTCCCATACATGGTTGTATGATACTCATTGTGCTCTGGATGCCAGGCTAATGCCATTGTCATTGAGCTGTCCATGATAAAAGACCTCATAGAGAAGAAAGCTAGAAGTTTGGGATGGATTATAAGAAGTTAACATATTTCTAAATACAGTAAATATAGCTTGTACAATCTACATGAGTCACAAAGATCTGCCTATCAACTAACTGAAAGACCCTTTTTACAGGCTGTGCCCCCTGCATACACATAGCATGTGTCACTTGATTCAGGTCTTAAATACATCACACTCTATTGGCCTAAAGACACTAAACAAAACTTGAGAAGATAAGGCCAGGAGGCCAGTCTTAGTAATAAAACGTAACATACGGAGAAATAAAAAAAGGGAGGGGGAAGGCAAAAGTTGTGAATGTGATAACAAAAAAAATGTCAAAGCAGGTGAGTAAAACCTGTTGACTAGAGCTGAAGTCATATATTTATAAGTCTCCCAGTAATGAAGTACCCTGATGTTTACCAAAAAGGATAGGAATAACTGAGTCTAATCCTGGTCTAAAATTAAGTCCTGATCCTCTAATTAAGAATTATTCCTGGCTACCCTTTAAATACAAATTTGGCACTTTTACAACATATGCTATTCACTCTGATCTGTATCAATTTTTTGTATGATCCTCAGTATACCAACAGGTACTTAAAATCAGATGATCACCACAGAGGAGTAACTCCTGAGTCTGAAAATTCAGTATCAAACACATCAGTGATTATTGAGCACAAGCAGATTACTGTTTATGATTAATCTGTCTATGCACTAAGTGAAATATATCTGATCACACTTCAGCAGAGCTCATCTTGTTAAATCTCTTAGTTCTGGAACCATGATATCGTTCAGGAGTATGTAATGTGAACAACACTGATTTGAATGTCTCTTACCTGTAAGTGAATCACTGAGGTATATTTTATATCTCAAAGAATTGCACAGCTGCACACCTACAAACTTCTTATACCAGGTCCTCTTGACATATTGTTTGCCTTTGCATTCTGAATATGTGTCTGAATTGAATGGGATTTCAGTCCAGATAGCATCTTTTCCCACTGCAGGAGACGAAAAAAAGAGGCTGAAGTGTGATGCTGCATACAAAATTATGCACAAAAAATACATTTGAATAACTAGAATTAGAAACCTTGATGAAGCAGAATGTACCATGACACCTGAACATGAAAAATATTTCAGGGAAGCACCAAAGAGTGCAGGTATGATTAATGCAGTGAAGTCCTCCTGCTCTCATGTAGTGCCAGTTTGGAATAAACTCATTCTAGCACCTTGCTAGGGGTACAATGTCTGTGTGTTGACAAAACTCACATTTACAGAGTGCGTGATACAGTCATCATTTTTCAGTGCATTTAAGCCAAGACAACCTGAAGCAAGTTGTATATGATTTAACAAAAATACACATAAAAATTATATATCGTTAATTATGTGGAAAGAAATGTCAGTGCTTGTCAACGTGATGTCCATTACAAATGCAAAAAGCAGCCCAATTTGCTTGAGTGATCTCAGCTCTTCTTCAAAAGCTCAGTCCACCTCCCACCAAAGACAGCAAGAGTCTTGTAAGGTCTAAGCAGAGCTAGATCAAGCCTTCTGAAGCAGGACATTTTTCTAAAACACAATGACAGATAAACAGAATCCTCTGAGTTGTGCTCTGTTAACTCACTTAAAAAGCATGGAGTAACTTATTCATTTTACAGAGCTTTCTGTGCTTTAATGACAAGGCTGAGAAAATATGAGACTGTCCTTGGCTCATTTGTGTACATTGGTTTGAAGCCATCCCAGCTGCCATGGGAGCTCCACGTCACGCTGATTGTGTTCCGCTCAGGTAAACAAGCAGCCTGGCATGAATTCCGTACCAGGGGTGTGCGGGGAAGGAGTGAAACCATGTGTGAATGCTGTTTGATTCCAGAACTCATTTAATTCGTGCAGTACAGCCACCCCCCTCACAAAATTATGCTATCTCATTTCTGAAAAAAGTCTTGATCAGGTACATATAAAAGAGGCTTACTTGAAATTGGCTCACTCACTCTTGGGTCCGCTGGGGGAAGAAAACAAACATTCAATCAGACACTGTAAAATGAACGCTCCCAATATTTCAATGGAAAAGCATAGGTAAGTGATTTTTTACAGCTGACATAAGCTGTAATTTGTGAAACAGAAAGTGTTTTGGAAGCAAAGTTAACTTTTGCATTAAATTAAATTAAAAAAAATATATTTCTTATGTGAAACTCCAGTATCAATGAGCTTTTAAAAATTTTATTCATGGGACAACACCAGCCAAACAGAGTTCTAGTAAAAACAGAAGTTTAAACCTGTAACCAGCAAAACCCAATTGTACTGTGTCTTATTAAAATTTCAATTTCAAAACCTAAATAATAAAAAGGACACATCTGCAATACTCGCCACAAAAATCTTGGCCCAATATGGGAGAAATGGTGTGTGCAATTAAGAAAAAATAAAACTGAATGCTTAATTTGTCCAAGCTAAATAGGAGACAGAACATAATCCTTGTCATTCATGAAAACTGCACTTGGCATAAACATTTTTTTTTCAGTTTTAACAATCTAGGATTACAAAGAGTGTATTCAGAGTTTTTAAATATGTGTGGCATGGTCTGAACTACTCCCTGAGTAATTTCTTGCTCAGCCAGAAAACCATCACTGACAGCACTAGATGAGGACTATTATATTATTACACCTGGCTCAAAATACAGATGGAGAAATTCCTCTTAAAAAGGCTAAATCCATTTTATGCTTTATGTGGACCTTAAGTACCATCAAGAAATAAACACTTCTACACAAAAGATGGTATCTTGCACAAAGTCAACAAGTCAGCTGTAGTTATCCTCAGGGAGAACAAGAGTAATGCTCTAATTATCACCTCTGAGTCAGATACCACTTGACTTGGGAACCAAACAATGTCCAAAACACGCTTGTATACACCTCTGTAACAGTTTCACAGGAGAGTAAACAGGATGGAAGGGGACTACTGGGACACTGACTTTTCCCAACTGCTATTTCTCAATCCTTATTTCAGCCAAATGACCTCACTGTTATACAGCAGCCTTATTGAACAGGTAGCAGAAGTGACTAAGAACACACCGGCCCAAAGAAAAACCTTATGTTCCCATCCAGAAGCCATTAATGAGCTTGATAGGTGCAAAAAGATCAAGAATATAAATCTTAGATGACTGAGCCCTCTCTAACAATGAAGTTATTTCCTTCATAGTGAACACCAGACAAGCAGTCCTCTCTTTTTTTCTCTTGCAGTCTGGCCATCTTACATCCTCACACAATACAGTCCTGATCCCAGGCTGACCTCCCACTGCTACATTGCTCAGTTGTTAAAAGCCAATCAGGAGATAGTAAGGAGCAAGACCAAATGCATAAAATGAAACAAGAGACCCTTTTCATACATCCCATACACATGGATACTAAAGCCACTGTAAATGATGGTCTGATCTTTGGAAGTTCTTACCTGATTCAGTACTGAATGACACAACATTGCTGCTTGGACCTTCACCAAGAGGGTTTCTAGGTTTCACGTGGAATTCATAACTGGGGAATAAAATAGAAGAGATGAAAATTTTGCAAACCGATGAATACTTCCAGAGTCTGGAGCAAGCAAGTATCACACGCCTGGTGTTACTTGCCTTCTGGAGAAGAACAAAAAGACCTCAGTTCTTGCCCTGAAAACACTGAGATGTTTTTTGTCTTAACTGCATAAGATTTCTCTGAACACATAATTAACCAGTCCTTTTGATAATTCTTTGCACACACACTATTAATATTTGATTTAATGCACCACTGGTTTAAGTCTGTCTCTACTCACACAGCAGTTTCAGTTCTGGCAAAGGGAGCAAGTTCAGATGAGGTCTGAAGCAACCTGATAAACAGAGACTGAGTAAAGCTCATTGCTATTTATTTTGCTTCTTAAGAACACAAACCTCCAATTCAATGCCTCTCAGGCCCACCAACAGTGACAGACAGGGCCAGTAGTGAAACACAGGGCATGTCTTCCAGGACAGGAGCTCAGCCAAGGCCAAGATCCAGTTGTTTAAATATATGTTAATAGTAAATATATGAAGTGATGTCAAGATATTGCAGAGTCTCTTTTGTATGTTTTTATAATAAAATTGCACAACACCAGTCTGTACTGTAGTTATCTCGTGATCTCTTTTCATCACTGCTGTGTTGGGAACCAAACACAGTGCTATGAAAACAGAACAAGATGAAAGAAAAAAATCCAAGCCAGGCTCCTCTTCTTAAGCCTTTTCCACCTCTCAATGCTTGATTAACAGTGATAGACAGACAAGACAAAGTGGTTTCTAATTCTGCAGCTCAGTTGAAACATACCCTTACAGTCAGAAGCTCTAGGTAAAGAGCTATTGCATGCTGCAAACCTAAACATATTACTCAGAAGACACCAGGCAGATGAGGCAGGAAAGAGGGTTACAGGGGATGGACACCAGACACAGTGAAGATCTTACATCAAGGGCAGAGCTATCCCAGCAAGGCACCTCTCAGCTCCCTTGGCTCCAGGCTGGCAGCACCTGGGAATTTCTCACTGCTCTGCAACAGCTCAGTGCCTGCCCAGAGAAGCTGCATGTCCTCCATGCCAAGGCACCCTGAGGAGTGGTGTGTGCACAGCAATCAACGGCACCAGCTCCACGCCTTCCCCACCAGCTGTAAATGCCACCTACAGAGAGGCCTCTCACATGCTCTGAGTGCTTGCATGGTGAGTCTCTCCTAACAGTGTCTTCTCATCTGCCAGAGACATCCACAGGACACGAGTCAGAAGGACTGTAGGACTGGAAAATGGGCCCTAACAGAGACTAGACACAGAGCAAAATGAGAGTCCCAGAAGTGAGCAATTAAACATCCAGCTCTTGACTCGTCAAGGATCACTTACCCATGATAATTTTGGTAGCTCGTGACTATAACATTGCATTGTAATGTATTGCTGGAATTGTTTCCAAACAGCAATTTTCTAAAGAAAAAAACAACCCCATAGCACACTCTGCACAGTTGGAAATTTGTAAATTCCATTTGCAAGTCCCCATAAGAATAATTCAATCCAAACCTTGGATTACCTCTCATTGCTTCTTGGCTCCTGCAAAACCTGAGCAGTTCACTAATTAACCTCAGTGGACTATTCATGCAGTACCAAGGAACTGTTTTCCATCCACAGTACTTCTAAGACAATATTTAGCTTTAAAATTGCTTACTTAAGCAATTGCCTTTATTTCTAGGGGTTTCTTTTCTTTTTAAGAAAAATACTTACAAAGACTGGTATGCTGAACAGATGCATTATGGAAATTCATGGATATTTCTAAGAAAACCATGGTCTTGTTTTGAGCTTAAAAAAAGTCTATTTGGAGTAATCTTGACATTTATTCAAACATGCTGCAAGACCACCTTGAGCTATTCATATTACCCTACCATAGGAAGGAGACATTAAACAAGTAATCAATTTAATAACTTCATAAATCTTCTTCATTATCATTTTCAAATTGTTTAAACAAAGACATGCTTTTAAAAATTGGACCTGAGCAGTTAATATTCACATTGGGCATGTGGTACAGTAACTTTTCTGGTCAAGAACTATTCTTACACAGTAGCTAAGGCTGTAGGTAATACAGAGAACTATAGCAGAGCAGCTGAAGATTCCTTCTGAAGAATCACTGAAGCGTAAACGAAGATTTGCTAATATGTTGTGTGTTTTAAAGTAATAGCTAGAAGACACATTTTGGAAAATGTACAAATTAATCCACACTTAGAGATAAAAGACCCCAAAGAAGTTTTCCTATTTCCTTCACAGCAGGAGCACCTGATCTAGAGCTATTAATGTAAATGTGATCATCAAGATGGGATGTTCTATTGCTTTATGGGCAGTTTATGGTTTGACCTTATGAATTATAATAATCTGATTCTGTCCCTTTGTATGCATTTTGCTAATTTTTGAACAAATATATAGTTCTTAATATAGTCAATATATTTTGGCTGCATCAGACAACATTCTTCATAGGAATCAGTCCCGTTCCCAAAAAACTTCAATTGATGAGCTTGGACCCATCAATTCTCTAACTCCAGAAAAATACAAAAACAAGAACTGAAGATCATTTTCCAAGGAGTGTTTTTCAAATTGTGGTTTAGGGATCACTAGGTTGTCTGCAAAAGACTAAACCACAGATGGGAAAATTTTGGCAAGATTGAAATAAAGAACTAAAATCTACACATAGAGATTTCAGCTCATGTAAGCATATAAAGAAAATTGGAGAAAAGGAAAATAATAAAGAAATGTCCAAAGTTTAGCTGAGTCAATTAAGGAAGTGTTCTATTAATAATGTTAAAGAGGACATTTTTAAAACTAAAATATATACAATTTTATAGTTCTGTGATATGTGTTTTTAGAAGCATCACAGGCTCCTTTCCTCTGCTGATTTCAATCCTAAAACAATAGCAGTGGCTTCAACAGTACAAGAATAAGAAAGAACTGCTTTTTGAGATGAAGAGAAATAACTAGTTGACTGAAAATTGAGAGACAGGGAAAGTTAGACTGAGATAATGAAATGATGGAGTGTACATATCTAACTGTAATTTTAAAGCCATGCTGTGGCTCTCTTAACAGAAAATTATTTAAAGTCTCCCTTTTGTGTGTCAGGTGAAAGATCTGAAAAATAAAATGGTAAAAAAAGGGTACTGTCTGCAGTCTTATACTCACCTATACAAACCACAAGAGAGAGGGAAAAATGCTTAGGGGTTTAAGAAGTATGGCAAAATTAATAAAAGGAAATAGGAGAGCTATAGAATGATTATCCCATGTCTAGCTCTTAGCTAGACTTATTAATGAGAAACTGGAGTCTGTATTCCATCTTTATATCTGCCTGCCTATTATACAAAAACTCTGCTACCCTATATAAGCAGCAATCTAATGCATCACACCTCCTACAAACTTTGGACACCAGGCCTCCCAAATCCTCCCAAACTCTGTAAGACAATAGAAGTCCTCGTGTAGGTTAAATGGACTTGACTTACAGTAGTTACTATGTGGAGTGTATTTTTCCACCATAGGAAATCACTATACCACATGGAACTTTGGCAAATGTATCTGCTCTGCATTTTTTGAAATCATGCAAAAGGAGAAGATTTGAGATTGCAGAACTGAAAATAGGTGAAAACAGATTTTCACCATAATAGAACTGGACCAGCTGAGTACAGTTGTGGGACTTCAGGTGAGTTGCTGGGGATTGCTGGTGTTTTGATGACAATCATGCAGGACTACCTTTGTGTATAGAGCTTCTCTGTCTCTGCAAAGTGTGCTTGGATAGCAGTATGATCCAACATAGCAAATGAGACAGGAATGAAAAAAAAGAAAGAAAAAAGTGGTGAGCTTGTTTGAAGAGTCTTTCTCCTATTCAAGTTGGAAGAAAGGCTGAGAGAAATGGGAAATGTCCATGAACTCTGACATCAACAGCAATTTAGAACAAAAATCTGTTGTTTTTTAATAAAGAGTACAAAAACCTCCAGCATTTTCCCACCACTTTCTGCATGTTTCTTCATTGCGGTTTTCACCGTAGTTCACATCTCTTGACCCTTGCTGTTAACAACAACTAAGCTCCCTGCATTGGTAGAATTTTTGTTTCTTCTTGTATGTGATTAGCACATTTTGGTTGCTAACTGCAATACAAAGCAATATTAGATAATGGTGATAACAGCATAAGCAGGCAGGTATTAATTATTCATACTTCAAGCTAATTCAGTAGAGGGTTGAAGACTTACTTGATATGACCTTTGAGTAAATTAGAGTAACTTTCTCTTTTTTTTGTTTCATAACTTTTATAAGACATATGAAAAAAACTTCCAAAGAAAGTAATCAACAGACATTATAAAACAGTTTGGTTCATGCATATAATCTGCACGTTTCATGTTTACTTCACAGTTTTGGTTGGTTAGTTGGTTTCTGGTTTTGTTTTTCTGGGGAACTTGGATTTACTTTATTTTTTTATCTTTTTTAACATTTCCTGTTATTTATATTCTTCAAGAGATCAAGGCTGGACATATACTTTGCCTTGGAATTCAATCTAACCGAAAAATCCAAAAGAGACCATTCAAAATGTTTTTAAAAAGGAAAAAAGTATGTTTGAAATCACTAAATTACTGAACGAGGCAAGGATCAGTACCTAAAGGGGAGTTCTACGAAGCTGTGGAATACAAACATCACAGGCTTTTTGTTTCTTATTAACACTCTTTTTCTATTAAAAATCTGCACCAGCAGGCTGGTGGACACGTCCTCTAATGGCTACCTGAACTTCCCTGGAGGATTTGGCACATCTCTGACTGCAGTCTTAGTATTTTTCTTTATTATCTTCCAGTTACTGCCATCACAAACATGCAAGGGAACTGTTTTCAACAATATTCAGACTCTTTTTTGAAGGCTTGTATAGAAATTAGTGCTGTAAAACTTCCTGGATGCTATGGTCTGTGCTATGAATTTAATTGCCCTTAAACAAACCACCAGAATGAAAGAGAAAATGCACACCTTCTAAAAAAAATAT